GAGATATCATCGTACTGTCTGTCGTACCCGCAAACTGTTCTGACTCCGGTTCAGCTGTTACAGCAGCACCATCATCACCACCATCACCAGCAGCACCAGCAGCAGCTTCCTCCGCTGTTGCCGCGGAGGGGGTTGTCGTCCTCAGCGGGGGGGGAGTAGCCAGGTCGCCGGGTGGTGCGGCGGGTGGGCGAGAGGGCGGCTGTTGAGTGTTCATGATGGCGGTGATGGTGCTGGTGGAGCTGCTGCCCCCGATTGGCTCTCCCTCTTCTTCCTCGCTGCCGGGGGCCCGAGGAGTCAGTCGGTTGAGGGGGGGGTGGGGAAAGCGGCGTCAGTCGGGAAGCGCTTCCGGAAATCACCATCCACCGTCCCATCAGGTGGCGGTGGCAGCGGCAGTGGCGGTGGTGTTGGTGGCGGTGTTGGTGGCAGTGGCAGTGGCTGATTATATAGTTTGGTCGACCGATAGAATGACCGAGATAGACAAAGGGTCGGGACGCCGCCGCCAAGCGCACGTCCGGATCGCTTCCGGGACCCGCACTCACCCTCACTGTGAGAGGCCCGCCGCCCGCCGTCCAGGAGGAGGTGTTGGTGGTCCTTGAATCCTGCTCTGCTCACATAACATAACATCGCATCACAAGCGCGTTGCGCTGACTCAGCCACTTGCGCGTCTAAGCACGCACGCACAGAAGCGTGCACGTCCTGTGCTGTTACTTTGCTAACACAAACAGATATACAGATATACACATGCTGCTTACGATGTAGTCTTGCTTGCTTGGGCAGCCGAAATGCCTCCGCCGGCAGCCTCCTTCCCTTTTCCCGCCTCGAACAGATTGCAGCTGAGCAGAGCGCAGACACACCAACGCAGAGAAGAAGATTATTTCTATCTCGGCTTTTTGTCTTTCTGAGGAAGCGAAATGACGCGCGGACAAGTCCGGAACCTGGGAAAAAAACAAAAAATCAGATTTGTGACCCGCGGGTCAGTTGTACCTTCATCCCTCTCAGTGGATGCTGCTGGTGCGGACGATCCATAAAGCAATTCTTGCAGCGGAGTCAGAACGGCAGAACGACAACCCATGAAGACGACGACGCTGTGTACCGTCCTGCAAAAGGCATTCATGGCCTCCATGAACGACCTGAAGGTGAAAACATTTATTTCTAATGTACATATGCAATATGGCGCACGGGAGGGCCTAACAATGACAAAATGGTGGCCGAAAGGGCTGGGCCCTCCTCGTCCCCCGGGAGCTTAGCGACCTCGCACACCGGTGGCATGTCGCCTCCCAGGCATCTTCTCGTTCCCAAATAAACAACAGGATACCTTTCACCGCTAGTGCACTAAGGGACCATTTTCTTGCACTCAGGTGGCAGAGAAAGAGAAAGAAGGCGCGATTCTATTCAGACGGGCGGTTACATGAGGGGTGGTCATGAGCTATAGGCGCTATACCTGCTGCTACAGGCGCCGGTACCGATTTCGGTCCGATGATGCGTGTTGCTGCTTTGCCATCAAGCGCGGCGCCTGCCGCCGCCCCACACAATTGACCAGGTCAGGGTCTTTGAGAATGCGGGCACTTTGATTATTCCAGCTGGCATTAAAATTATCGGGATCGCTAAGAATGCAGAAACGTCGCGTGGCGATTTACATGATGCTTCTTCTGCTCTGCTCTGCTTTGCTCTCCTCATTATCGAGTTCCGCCGTTTATCAGACTACGTCCCATAAACATAAGCATCCTCAGCACAGAGGAGACTTAGATTAGGTTCGTATCGGGAAAGCTTAGCGCCGCGTGCGTCCGCCGTCACCGCGCCAGCCGCCGCATGCTTTGTGCTGGGTGCGGTCGCCCCCTCCCTCGTGGGTGGCTCCTATGTGGCACATCACCCGACCCGCGGTACCCGAACACGCCAGCTGCTTCGATGCCGAACAACTCTAGCCGCGTTGGAAAGAGACTTCGAATCCTCGTAAGGATCTGCACTTGCAATCTGCATTCCCACACCAACAACATTTTGTCGTGCGGGCATCCGAGCCCCGATCCGCTAATGGCACCATAACACAGACAGTATTTCCTTTGCTTACATACTTCTGGCGGCGGCTGGCAGAGGTTAAGGCCTGACTTCTGCTCCCGGAGTGTCCAGGGCCAGATCCGCCTGCCTATTCCTGGAGTGATTGAGGAGAGTTGAAATGGTAGGTGGCCCCCCATCTAGTGGAATGTGTAGGACGTTTAAATATCAACTTTCTAACTGACCATCAACTAAGTTGGGGCGCGGATGATCCGCCAGATTTGGTTATACTGATGGTGAGTTGATGAACCCAACGAATACATTCTGAAGTCGGATGGGTTGAATGGAATAGGGTGCCCCTCTCGCAGGGGAGAGCAGGGAACTGCCTCGGGAAAGGGGGCCGCTGGTGAAGCTATACCACCCTGTAACAACATACATACATCTGCCACGCTGACAGGTGGATGGATACCTTTGTGCCAATTAAGAATGGTGAACACACAATTGGGATGCCGTCAGCAATGTTGAAGCAGATGTAATTTCCAAGACTCGTCCAGCGTGGGCGTCACCGCACGGCAATTTTTTAATGTAATGTAATGTAATGTAATGTAATGTAATGTAATGTAATGTAATGTAATGTGTAATGTAATGTAATGTAATGTGTAATGTAATGTTACAGAGTGGGAAGCTTCTGGGCCGCTTTATCACATTGTCAGTTCTAGATCATTTATCACCTTATAGCACCATCCACCACTACCACACTGTACTTCGCCATACGAACTGTAAGTCCAAGGCGGCGGATCCAGCCTTCGGGGACCCCTCCTCATCCATTCACCCGAACACCCGAAGAGACGGAGGGTTCGGCAATCGCCACCAATCCAGCGTGCGAATCTGGTCCATCAACTGTGACCTCAACTCCACATCTCAGCAGCTAGCCATAATCTCGCGCTCCCGACTAATTCGGGGGTCTCCCCAGGAATCGAACCCAGGACCTTAAACCGCTAATTGCAGTAGTGTCAACCCAGACCAGAATTTTTTTATAACTTGTACAAAAGCTAATAAAGCTAAACCAGCTGCTTCATTGCTTTTTAGATGAAGAAATCAATGTTACATATTGTCGAACATGCTAGCAAGAGGAGGGAAGGGGAAGGGGGAAAAGGCGAGGGGTGAGAAGGGAGAGAAGGAGAAGTGGGAAGGAAGGAGTCTCACAGCCAACTAGTCTCCCAGGATCCCAAACTTTCAGGCTCCAAGATTCTCAGGCTCCCAGGATCCCAAGCACACAGGCCCCCAGTCTCCAAGGCCCTCTGGCCACCAGTCTTCCAGCCTCCCAGTCTCGCCGGCCCCCAGCCCCCAGTCTCCCACTCTCTCAGTCTCCCAGCCACCCAGGCTCTCTGGCTCCTAGCCTCTCGCTCAGGCTCTCCGGCCCTCAGCCCCCAGTCTCCCAAGCTCCCAGTCTCCCAAGCTCCTAGCCACCCAGGGCCTCGGGCTCCAAGGCTCTCCAAGATCGTGCACGAAATTGTCCCACACAACTTTAATGAGAAGTTCAATCCTGCCTGTATGCCACACACACAGGGACCATGCCAGAGCCCAGCCACAACCACTGCCACCACCGAAGGTGTGATGAACAGTGTTGTCACCCAAGTGCAGCAGCAGGTATGCAGTGTACCATAACATGTCATTTTGAACAGATCCTTGGAACAAACAGTGACCCGTGGGGATGACAGCCGCTTGCTGTTGCTCTGCTGCATCGGGAAGCCCAGAGTTGCACAGACTGTTGGGCCATGTGAGGCGAAGTACATCAACATCGTGTTGGAGGGCGGCAAGGCTCAGCGGGTACGTAATGCTACTGGGATCCGACCAGGTCTAAGAATACGAATCACAAGAACCTGTTGTTGCCGTTGTATGTAGAGTGGGCGGAAGACAGTGATCGCATTCTTGCGGGGCGTGACAGCGATTAAGTGTCCAATCAGGGCAATGGCAGAGTACCTGTACGTCCGCTTCACGATGGAGGGCGAGAACTATCCAAACCCATTGTCCTCGTCCTCCTCTTCGTCCCCCTCATCGGCAACCTCACTGCCAGACTCACTGGACAGTTCTGATTATGTATCGCTGTAGCTGTCCGTCGCCGAAGGGCCCACCGACGACCCACGGCACCCGATCGGGCGGTCCTAGCGCCCCTAACCCTGTCGGGTCCCCCGACGGGAGCCCTCCGGGCCCCGTCGGGAGCTCCCGATGGCCGTTTGGCATTTTCCCCGTTTTTCGTCGGGTCCGCCCGAAAGCATTTTTCAAAGCCTGTCGGGATTTTCAGCACAAGTGCCATTCCTGTCGGGACCCGATCGGACTGTCGCACCCTGTTACCACCCGTGCCCGCTCGCGCGTGCCCGCTCGCGCGTGTATGTTGGCCGGTTGCGAGTGTGCGGCCGCGCATGCTACTAGGTGGCCCCGTGTGTGAGCCGCTTGGGGTGCGGCCACCCGGTTTGGTCGTGGGCGGCATGGAGTGCCTGGTTTGGCTGTATTCTTCTGCAGTGTAAGGGCCCTTGGCAGCTGGTCCCCGCTCCCTTTTGTTGCTCTCTCAAAGCACGTTCGTTCTGGTCAAACTTCGGCAGAGCCACGAAAATACAGGTTAAAAGAAACAGGAGCATGGAAACAACACATTATGGCACATAATGAAAGTTAAATTTTATAAAATTTACACATTTTTAGTTCTCCTGAACCTATTGATCGATCCGGATTGAAATTTCACGTCTGAGGGCCTTGTGTTGTGTGGACTCAGAATTTTTCCATTAGCAAGTTTGTAATTCTTAGGGAATGTTACTCATTTGACTCTGATGCCCCTTCTTCTTCATTAAGCTCCTTCCTAGGTCACGTCAGTTCTGTTGCCGCGAAACCGGCCCAACCCGCCGAGCTGCGTTAGTGGGACGAAGGGCTTTTATCAAATCTAACAAAAAGAAGTATCTCATCCCCAAGGGGGGGATAGGATCGCCATCTTTCCAGACCTTGCATTGGTCCTAAAGATGGTTGATGCTGCAAGTCAGGGGTTAAAATGGTGCGGCACGCTATCGGATGCCAGCTGGCTGGGCCCATTCTTATCTCCCTGCTCCTTCGAGACAATGTCGTCCACGCTCCTCCTTGCGACAACGCTCATCTTGTTACTAGCCCAGGGTACCCGATTGGCCGTGATGCAGCAGCTAAGGGTGAAGGGACGAATACGGAGAGGCATTTCGGGCCTTAACGGCTCGTACATAGCAGCTGCGCTCTTTCTGTGCGGCACACACTCAATCCATTTCGCTGTTGGCCTGGCGGTGCTGCGCACTTGGCCGTTTCACATTGCCTACCATGCCTGCTTCGCTCTCTTATGGTGCACCATCGCTACATTTGCAATCTACTCCGGACGGCTAGCTGTCGGCGTCGATTTCCGCATCTCCTCCATCCCTGCGACACTGGTTTACCTTATTAGGTGGGATACTTTTGAAACGTGTGTACGCACGCGGTAGCCTTTAATGTTGCGAGGGAATCCTTTTGCCTGTCGAAGGGGGAAATCCCCGTGCATGTAACCTTGAACTTTTGCGTGTGTATGCGCGTTTGTCTGTCTGTCTGTCTGCACACTCTCGTCGACGTCCACGTACATGTCTAGGTAGAGACTCACCGTTTGCACATGAAGCTGTTTATGGTGCTCAAGCATTTTGGAAAATACGGCTAGACTTGATGGCTTGGTCATGGAAATGCCCGGCTCAGTGCAGGCGTGGTTATTACTATGGGCCACCGATTTATGAATCCAGTCATACACTACTCCGTCTAAGCACTCTTGACAGTGGAAGTCCTAACACAGCGGTGGTCACGGCGGCGGTCCCCGACCTCCCAGCTCCTCATACCCATACCGCCCCGCTGCTCCACTCCACCCCGCCGCCCCCCGCCCACTGCCCCACTCGCTCCCTGCAGCCTCTACTCCTACTTCCAGCTGTACTACGACACCCACGCCATCCCCCTGCCGTACATCAAGGCCTCCATTTGGACCGACATGCTTCAGGTGGTGGTGGCGGCCATCATCAGTTGGTTGGGCACGAGGAGGGTCGCGCGGGAACCTAGGCTCGTGGACCTGCAGGCGCAGTTGGGCCTCAGCCCCACATTGGGCCCAGATGGACGAGGGCCCTACCAGCAGCTGCCCGCAGCGGAAGACGGGGGCCGTGCCGGCAGCGCCACCGCAGGCGGGAAGTCGGCGGAGGCCGGCGGGGGGGACGGTGATGGTGGCGGCGGTGGCGACACCGACAAGAGCACTTGGATCAGCCTGTTTGTGGACGCCTGCGCGTACGTATGGCCCGAGTCGTTCTGGCTGCAGCTGCGCGCCGTGATGTGTCTGCTGCTGCTGGTGGCCATGCGAGCTCTCAACCTTGCCGTACCCATCCTGTACAAGAAGGTTGTGGACCGTATGGCAGAGGGGAGCAGCGGAGGTGGAGCGGCCCAGCCCGATCATGCAGCGGCAGCGCGGGAGGGTCGCGGCCTGGGTCTGGACCTGGGCCTGGGCCGGTTGCTGGAGTCGTGGAGGGCTGCTGGTGGTGGTGGTGGGGGTGGGGGTGGTTGGGAAGCAGGGGGCGCGGATACCCTGAGCTACGGGGCGCTTGTGTGGCCCTGGGTGGTGCTGTACCTGGTGGCGGTGTTCTTCCAGGGCGGTGCCGGGGGCGGCGTGGTGGGCTTCATCAACAACATCAGGTAGGTGGATAGGATGGATGGATGGATGGATGAATGCAGGCAGGCATGTCTGGGTGGGCGGATGGGCGGGTGTATATATGAGCATGTCGACACTCGACCGCGGGATAACCCATGGTCCTCACGTCCCCGTCTCCTGTCCCGCACGCCGTCCAGTCCCCGATCCTCCCCCGGGGCCCCCCCCAGTGAAACTCTGAATGCCGCTCCGAATCCCGCACAGGTCCTTCCTGTGGATCCCCGTGGCCCAGGACTCGTACAGGTGGGTGAGGGGTGAGCAGCAGTAGTGCTGGAGTCGGTGGAGGGATGGTGGGGGATTGGGGGAGTTGGACCCCCAGCGACCTCCCTGTCTTTCAAATCAATTCAATTTTAACTACGTAACTTACGGGTGGGATGGAGGGGTCGCGCCTCTCAGAGACCTGCTCTGCATGCCGCCCTCAACTCTCACGATCCGCACCCAGGGGCCGGGGGCCGGTCGGTTGACCAGTCCGGTGGTTACAAGTGTCCGGTGGTTGGCTGCAGCGATGGCGGTGTAGGTCATCACGCGCCATCACGAGCTCCGCCGATGTCGCTGATACTGTCAAGAGATACGGATACTGACATAGCTTACCGGGCTTACCCGGCCGGCCACTGCGCCTGGCTGGTTATCGTCGCCGTAAACCTCCCCACCCCTTTCCCCGCCGCCGCAGACGCATCAGCATGCGCACTTTTGACCACGTGATGGAGCTCGACCTGACCTTCCACTTGCGCAAGAAGACGGGCGAGGTGACCCGGGTGGTGGACAGGGGCACCAACGCCATGCAGAACGTGTTGTCCACGGTGCTGTTCAACATATTGCCGCAGGTAGGGGATGATAAAGGGCAGGTAGGGAAGTGGGAGGTGATAGGTGGTAGGGGACCTCAGTGGGTCGTCGGGAAGGAGTGCTGTGCGCTCATGACTAGCTTCCGGGTGGCAGGCTGAGGGGGCTTTAAGAGGGGCGGGGCAGAATCCACTGGATGGTACTGGTGGTGCTGTTGGTGGTGATGTGGCTGAATGAACTCGGAAAAGTCCCTCACTGACTACTCACTGACAGAGGTCGGCACTCTCACACACACACACGGGTGGTGGCCATGATGATGATGATGAGGGGGATGAGGGTGAGGTTACCCGGGGAAGGAGGCCACATCACGGATGGGTGGGTGGGGACGGTGGGGACTGCCAGCATGCTCGTCCAGGGTGGCCACCACCATAGGTTGGAAAGCCCCTCTGTGTAACCCATATATACACCCCCCCTACTTCACACACAATCACTTCAGGGAGGCGCCTTTGAGCTGTGAACGGTTGAACACCCGACACAGTCGTCGCCGTCGCGCCTCGCTTGCCGCCCAACCCCTCACCCCCCCCACCCCACCCCATCCCCCATTCCTGACCTGACTTGGACTATCCGTCTACCCCTGGTTTCTGCTTCAATTGTCAAAGGTTCGTCTTACCCCTACCCCTCTACCCCTACCCCTCTACCCCTACCCCTCTACCCCTACCCCTCTACCCCTACCCCTCTACCCCTCTACCCCTACCCCTACCCCTCTACCCCTACCCCTCTACCCCTACCCCTGACCTCACCTCATCTGATCTGACACTGCGCTGTCTTTTCCAGCTGTCCCCACCTCCCAACCATGTGTGTAAGTGTGTATATGTATGTATGTGTGTGCCTCCCGGATGAGCTGCCCACCTCCAGATATTCGACGTGCTTGCGGCCGCCACGTACCTGGCTCAGGCGCTTGAACCCACCATCGCCATCATCGTGTTTGTCACCGTGGGCTCCTACATACCCCTGACCGTCTTCATCACGGAGTGGCGGGCCAAGCTGAGGAGGGAGATGAACCAGACGGACCAGGTAGCGGGGGGAGGAGGCTTACTGGGGGGAAGGAGGGATCGCCGAGTTGTCCTTGAAAACACTAACGGGAACCAAATTCCTGCTCCGGCTGCTCCTGCTCCCGCTGCTGCTGCTGCTGCTGCTGCTGCTGCTGCTGCTCTCACCCCGCTCCACCCCGGGGCCCCATCTGTAGGTGAAGAGCGGGCGGGCCACGGATGCGCTGCTGAACTACGAAACCGTCAAATACTTCTGCAACGAGAAGTACGTGCGGAGGGTTACGGGGGTGGGGGAGCGTGGGAGGGATTTGGGGAGGTGGACGGGAAGGGGGGGAGGGGTTTACGGGGCGGATGCGGATGTACCCAGAAATACCTGCTGTATCCCCGGACTGGAGGGCGCTGGGGGGGCTGAGCGGCTCCCGGGCTCCTGCGGTGGCGGCCGGAGCAGTGGGCCCAGCGGGAAGGGGGGGGGGCAGGGTGAGCCCGCCCTCCAGCCCCTCTCCGCATCGCACCGGACAACATATGACTGACTGCTCTGAGCCCGGAAGCAGAGTCCGCTTCCGGGCCCCGTTCCTCCTCCGCTTTGGCGCCAACCTGAGTGCGCCAACTGCCCCCTCCCGTCAGTTCTACGTCTGGTACACTCTTGCCCTGGCAGCAGCTTCACTCGTTCGTTTCCCCTCCCGTCCTGCCCCCCACTCCCTACACCTACTTCTTTACGGATTGGCTATACTATTCCGCTTTTTTAGTTCTGGCGGCTTAGGTAATTAGTTTTTCCGACATCTTCTTCACTTCGTCATCCCGAGGTCACGGTCGCCACGGACACCTTTCGGTCATTTCTGCGTTTGTTACTCGCTTGCCCTGGCAGCAGCTTCAATAGTGTGTGGCTCGTCTTTCCCCCCACTCCCCTACCCCCCAGGCACGAGTCGCAGCAGTACGCCTCCGCCATTGCTGCCTATCAGTCCGCGGAGTTCAAGTCCATGTCCTCCATCAACATGCTCAACGTGGTGCAGTCCGCCATCATGTTCTGCGGCATTGCCTCGGGACTGCTGGTGTGCGCGGGTAGGAGGGGGTTGTGGCGTGCGCGGGTAGGAGGGGTTGTAGGAGGGCTTAGAGGGTTGGGTTGCATCAGTGCCCCCCCCTCCCCTGGGTGCAAGAGGCGAGGAGGCGGCGGCACGTGGGCGAGGACCTTGCCCCTGGAACTGGTTAGGGGGGCTGGCTGACTGCCGGGCTGAAGCCCCGGCCCATACATACATACATACATACATACATACATACATACATACATACATACATACATACATATATATATACATACATACGTCCTCTATGTCGCATACCCAGGTGGTGTGTCCGCCCACGTGCTGACGGTGGGAGATGCGGTGCTGTTCCTCAGCCTTATGGCCCAGCTGTACGGACCACTCAACTTCTTCGGGTCGTACTATCGTACCATTCAGCAGTACATGGTGAGTGTCGGCGCGCATGTGTGTGTGTGTGGTAGTGTTCTTGGAGGCGGCAACGCCGTACGTCAGTACTGCCACGACCACACCGTGGTACAGAGGCCGCCTCTGTACCTTAGAACTACCGGGGACTGTGTTCACCCCCCTCCCCCTGGCAGCAGCTTCACTCGTTCGTGGTTCGTCGTTCCCCCCTTCTCCCCCCTTCTCCCCCCTCCCTCAGATCGACATGGAGAACCTGATGGAGCTGCTCGAGCGGCGGTCGGTGGTGGAGGAGAGCCCGGCGGCCCGGGAGCTGGTGGTGACTCAGGGTAGGTGGGGGTATTGTACGAAATGAGGGGGGAAGGGGGGGAGGGAGGGGGGGTGGGGGGAGGGAGGAGGGGAGGGAGGGGGGGAGGGAGGGGGGGTGGGAGGGGGTGGGAGGGGGAAGGTGCGTTCAGTGTGTGTGTGTGCGTGTGTGTGTGTGTGTGTGTGTTCTCCCTCGCTCCCTCCGGTTGCCCCTCAACACATTATAATAAACCACATCACATGTTGCCCCGCTCACCCCCGCACGCTCTTCCAGGCGAGCTGGTGTTTGATGACGTGTCTTTCCAGTACGACCGGGGGAATCTGGTGCTGCGCCGCGTGAGCTTCCGGGTGCCCGGGGGGAGGACCGTCGCGTTCGTGGGGGCGACTGGCAGCGGCAAGTCCACCATCACCAGGCTCATATTCAGGTGGGGGGGAGGGGTAAGGGGGGGGATGCCCGTATGTCTTAATGATCTGAGTGTTGCGATGATGGAAATGCCAAGGAGGGTGCACGTGTTCGTATGTATGTATGTCTATGTGTCCTTGGTGGCGCCGTAGAGTGCTGCAGCCGGCCAGGGGTTTCCACCCCTCCGCTGAGCCCTCCCTCCCCCCCGGGGCCATATCGGGGTGAGGGGACTGAGCGGCTGCTCCGTGTACACACATACACATACACACACTTCCCCCCCACCCCCGGGTGCCCCCTCAGGTTCTACGACGTGTCCTCCGGGGCTATCCGTGTGGACGGTCAGGACGTGCGGGAGGTGACCCAGGCCTCGCTGAGGAGGGCGGTGGGCATGGTGCCGCAGGTGGGGGTGAGGGTGGGGGTGGGGGGCCCTCGCCGGGACATACATACACACGTACATACATACGTACATACTTGCATGGGGGAGTAAGCTGAGTTCGTTGCCTTGTGCTCGGCACCCGCCGCCAGCTGCCCGTGTGGTGTGCTGTGGCATGGCGCTGCTAGTGGGCGGTGGGGGGAGAAGGAAGGAAGTCACCGCCACCCCCAACCCCCACAAGCCTGCACGGCACACGGCGGGGCGGGGTGGGGTGGGGGAGTTGTTGACGGCTCGCCGGAGAGTCGCTCTGCATTAGGACCAGGTGAAGTTTATGTGTATGTGTATGTGTATGTATGTCAGAAGTGAAGTCCATCCGCGTCAGACATACGTACATACACTTACACCCACATACATGCATGCATACATACGCATATGTACGCACACATACATACTCCAATTTCCTGCTCAGATTTTAACATCACCCACACCCACCCACACACACACACCCCTTGCTATGCTCCGCAGGACACGGTGCTGTTCAACGACACCATCATGCACAACATCCGGTACGGCAAGTTGTCGGCCACAGATGAAGAGGTGCGCGTGCCGTGAAGTCAGATGTGGGCTCCTGTGGGGCTGTGTGTGTGTGTGTGGTGGGTTGGAGACTTCCGCCCGCCCGCCCTATGTATGTACGTATGTATGTATGTTGTTACAGGGTGGTTAACTTCGCCAGCGGCCCCCTTTCCCGGGGCAGTCCCTGCTCTCCCCTGCTAGAGGGGCACCCTAATCCGTCACCCCATCCGACTTCAGAATGTATTCGTTGGGTTCGGCAACTCACCACCAGCATCCAACCAAATCTAGCGGATCAACGGCGCATCAACTTAGTTCCTGGTTAGCTCGCAAGTTGATTTTATCACGTCCTACATCGTCCATATGATGGGGGGCCACCTCCCATTTCAACACTCCTCAAACACCCGAGGAGCGGGCAGGCGGATTTGAACCCGGGTCGGCCGGGAGCAGAAGTCAGGCCTTAACCTCTGCCAGCCGCCTGACTGTACGTATGTATGTATGTATGTATGTATGTATGCTCGGACTGCATCCATCCATTCCGTCGATGACTTCATCGCCTAGGACTCCCTCGGGGCAGCTTCACACTTTGGGCGGCGGCAGTGTGTTTCCGGGTTTCCCGCATAT